TCTCTCTCTCTCTCTCTCTCTCTCTCTCTCTCTCTCTCTCTCTCTCTCTCTCTCTCTCTCTCTCTCTCTCTCTCTCTCTCTCTCTCTCTCTCTCTCTCTCTCTCTCTCTCTCTCTCTGTGACTGTCTGTGTGTGTAGTTTTTCTTCCTCTCACTATGGTGACAATTCAAGTATACTCGAGGAAGAGAAAGCAATCACAGGAAGTTTCTTCTTCTCAAGTAGAGGCTGATACCTCTCTCACTGCACATGAAAACGAGCAAATCAACAATGCTCCTCTCGTTGTCGCTGATGCAGGGATTCAATCACTTCCTATGCTGCCACAAGATTCTGTGTTCAAAATCTTGTCTGAGCTCCCTGTTGAAGTAATTTGCCGTTTCAAATGTGTGTGTAAACCATGGGAACAACAGTTGTCCTCGGCCGACTTTGGTGAAGTGCACCATGGTGCTCCCCACATGACTTCGGAAACCTTTGCAATAGTCTCTGTGTCATCTGGATGTTTCGCTCTTCGCTCCCTCGGCCGACAAAATGCTAAGGTAGCTCTAAGAAAACTAAAGCTACACAGGGAGGGGGGTGTGAGGCAATTTGCATGCAATCAAGGATTAATGTGTTATAGAACTGTGGATGATGGTGAAAATATGTATGTTTGCAACCCAATTTCCCGGCAATTCATCGTCATCCCGCTTATCCCAGGTCATGACTTTGATATTCAAGGTTTCTATTTTGATCCATCAACCTATAACTTCAAGGTGTGGGCATGGTGCTGGCGTATTGATACATCAAACAGATGCCTTTGCATGTTCAGCTCAGCAATTGGATTTTGGAAACCTTTTGCCCTGGGCCTATGGGGGCTGGCATACCCGGGACGGTTCTTGTGCATGAGAAATGTGTTGTACCAAATAGAAGAGCATTTTGTGCTCTCTTTCGACATGGAAACTGAAGCATGCAGAACGATTCCAATGCCTTCAGGGGCCTCTGGACTTCAGTGCAGCTTATTGGAGTGGGAAGGACGGCTATGCCTGGTTCATGGACTGAAAAGAGGCGAATTATTGATATGGGGACTGACCGAATCGACATGGGAGAAAGTCACGAAATTGTGTCTAGAGACAAGATTCTACCGCAGAGAGAGATATCCTCACAATTATGTTTTGGGTGTTGCCAGCTACTGTCGAGATCTTTTCGTCGCCCGAGTTGTACGGAATTGCATTGAGGTCTCTTCATACGATATCAATGGCAACAAAAGCAACATCCATTGGATATTTCAGCGGGATTCCAAACTTTCTGAGAATTCCATAATTAGAATTTCTCCATTCACACCAACACTCTTGCAGTGTAAGACTATAGTCGAGCGGCTGCACAGGACAACAACATAGATGGCCCTGCTCTTTCCAAGCCATCAAATTGTGGTCTCGCATTTCAGTATAAAAGATGACCTGAGATGCATGCACTTTCTCTATTACTCTGTTAGATTAATAGTTTGTCTATTTGAGAACTTTTAAAGATCATCTAAAAGTAACTTTAAACATAAAAGTTCAAATGATTCTATCCTCTATGGACAAGAGAATTAGTTTATTAGTGCTTTTAGTCCTTCTTTTTATGTTCCTTTTGTATTTTATTCAGCTTAGGACTTGTTTATTGCTATTTTATCTTTATTTTGTGTTCCAATAGTTGTTCTTTTCGAGGAAAGTTGTCTGATGTTTTTAAGTTCCCTATAATGCAAGCTCATTTTGTTATCCTCCAGATGCTTTGTGAATTATGCTTCGAGGCACAGTGCTACATCAGTTGTTGGCTTTGGTTTCATAATTGAAAATTTAATTATGAGGTTGAGGTTTCTTCAGCTCCAATCTAGCATAAAAGATACTTGATAATTTATAATCTGAGTTCATGTATGTTGGAAATGATTGCTGAATTCATCAGTCAATTTTACCGGTGTTCGAATAATTCATATGGCTCAATTCATGTGTCATCCCCCTCTTTCTTGTTTTCTCTTTCTGGCTATTGAATTTTTGTGTGGATGAGTGCTTCTATGCATTGTAATTTAGTCATGGAGCATATATCTGTGTACAATTGAGATTTAGGATGTTGCACTGTGTGCAAAACTCTGTAGCCACAAAAATCCAGTGTTGTCAACACCATAGTTTAGGTGTCCTTGGACATTCACCTCTATCTATTCAGATGTAAAAATGCTCTTGTTTTATGGTTAGTCTAGAATGAGCAAAGGCTAATTCTAAGTCATCAACAATTTAGTTTTCTTATGAGCCTTTATTATAGTGATAATCACTAAGACATATGAACATATCAGTGCAGAGAGTATATAAAGTTTGATGGCTGAAACGCAACAAAACCCAATTCTTATTTTCAGAATCATAAGAGAAAATTGATGGCTTTGTTACGCATGAGCACCACAACCATATCAGTTTCAATTGGTTCGATTTTACAGTCGCATTTTCCAAAGTTGTCCAAGAGTGCTCCATTTACTGAACTGTCACTGCTATTCTTTCGTAAAACATATTTTTGATGCGTTGTTTTCTAACCTTATTAAAGTTCGAATTCTAAGTATCCTGATTTTAGTGCTTCTGGGCCTGCAATCCTTGGTCCTGCCAGCAGTCGAATCAATAGTTTGCTATCTTCTAGTCCATTCCAGGGATGGGGATTAAGGTAGTGACTAAGGCATTTGTGAAGGAATATGCAGTTTCATTCATTTTGTAAATGAATCTGTGTTATCTATGCTTGATATCTTCTTGTTTCCTTTAAATTATGTAAACAAGGATATGTTGCATAAGGTTCATGTGAGTGATGCAAGTTAGAATGCTACGACTATGACTTACTTTAGATTGAATGCAAATATACTTAATGGTTATGCTTGGATAGTCAACCATGTCTCCATCTGGTCTCAATTGTAGTAAAGGCCAAGTAGGAAAGTAAGGCTTCCTCCAATCTGATGTGTGCTGTTTTGTTATGATGAAATTAGTTCACTAGGGGGTTGTATTGAGGTTGAGGCAGGGAGATATTAAACTGAGATATGAAAATTTGCTTATATTTTCCTTTTCAATTATTTTCTTATTAATGCTAAGGATGCATACATGGCTACAAGCATTCGTGAAATGCTTATGATCCAGAAGCCGAATCAACTCTCATGCTCGAGCCTCACAGCCTAGCCCCATCCTACACTTGCTGTTTAAAATATCAGAGACCTAGTTCGACATAAAAGATAACAAAACAATGGGATATACAATATAAAATTTTGAAAAGAGAAGTTGAATAACAGGTAGAAATCCCTATTTTCATGCAGAAATAATGGCACACAGATAGTCTCTTTGACCAAATTTAGCTCCAAATTCCAAAACTAAGAACCTCCAGCTAATGGTTCTTGCATTGGTCTAACTTTATTTAAAGGGAAAGGTTGAAGTTAGCCCACTAGCTCACAGCTACATATGAGCCCAACAGCTCAAATTGAATCTGGCGATGTAACTGCCACAACCTTATTTCATATTTAAAATTTACTTTTTTTGTCCTACAAATCCAAATCACTTGAAATTTTGGTCATGTATTCTTTAAAAATATGAGAATCTAATAAAAATATCAAAAAATGATTTGTAAAATAATAAATGGACTAAAATACCTCCAAAACTTTATAGGGGTATTTTGATAAATTTATTTTTTGCGAATTATATTTTTAATATTTTTTATGTGTATCTTGATGAGAAAAATGGATGCCTAAAATTTCAATTGATTTGGATTTGTAAAAACATATAAAAAGTCAAATACAAAATGATGTTATGACCGTCAGATCGGTCCAGATTCAATCTAGACCATTGATGTAGTTGTGAACTAATGGACTAACCTCAACCTTTCCCTTATTTAAAATAGTTGATGTCAATGGAAGCTACATATTTTAAAGGTATTTCCTCGATTAATTATTATTGTTTTGTAGCTGGCTAATTTTTATTAATTATTTCCATTATTTTTTATTTTGAAATTGATTAGAAGGATTCCTCAAATGGGCGTTTTGACCATAGGACCCATTATATAATGTGGTCCCATTGAACCACCATATGTACCCTATGTCATTTTCGGTTTGGCTATCTAATAATTCATGGGGCCGCACTTGTGAATGCTTCCTGACTCCTTTTACTTGGCATGGTATGTGAGAAGGCGCGGGCAATGAATGGCAGGTAGCTTGGTGGTACGGGTAATATAAAAACACCATGAGAGATGAATTATTTAATATAAGTAGGTTACAGTCATTATAGATGTTAGATGTAAAATTGGGCGATTGAAGATGTGTTATTGATTGGGCACAAACTCTAAAGTAAATTTTTTAAAATGTTGAGATACACTTCAATCTATCTTTCATATCCAATGATCAAAACTGATTGTGACTTTCTTGTACCAAAAGTAAAAGGTCTCATGCTATAAAATTCTAGTAGATTTTACCATTTTGCAACTATTATAACTCATGATCATATTTTTTCATGGGTATTATAAAATTGAATCAAAAGAGATTAGTAGGGTGTTAAATTGTTCATCTCTCATGAGTACTATGATAAGTTTTTTTGTTTTTAAAGTGGTCTGAGTCTGTGAAGGTGGAGCGGAAAGGAAAACACTCATTGTTGTGGCCCCATTTGGCCTACACCTTGAAAAACTCACCATCTATCTGTTAACACACAACATTCCTCATAAAGTTCAGCTTGTGAATAACTAAAAACCATGGCATTCCAAGAAACAGCATCTCTCTCCCCCATTTTATCAAACACTTTGCGAGCATAACCAATTCACCCATGAATCGCATAAGCTGTGACAAGAGAGTTTGGAATGAAGGTATCGACATCGATAAGAGAGAGGCGGAGAGAGAAAGCATGGGCCTCTTGACAAGTCGAGGGCTCAGCGAGATAGGTAAGAGAGAAGTTATTAAGGTGAAGGTTCGACAAAATGAGGAGAGAGAAAGTTTGGGTTTCGGAGTAGAGATTATGGAGAGAGAAAGCAATAAGGAGGGTGTTGAAGGCGAAGAGGTTGGGTTCGGGGATGAGAGAGAAAATGAGGCAGGCTTTGACAAGGCATTTGCACTTTGTGTAGAGAGAAAAGTTTGAATGCAAGGTAAGGGCAAGGGGAGATGGCAAGGAGTGTGACGCTCTTGGGTGTGTGTGGCCAGTAAAGGCCTTATGAGTGCTTGCAAATCAATTAATATAGTGGAATATGAATTCAGTGGGAGTGTGGTCCTGTCTGGATCATACTTAGCAAATGAGGTTTGTTGATACCAAACTGAGTTTTACGAGCTAGGTTAGTCTAGTTGGGAAAAACACATTTTATCTGAGCGTAGAGAATAAACTGATAAGGGTTATAATGGGTCATCCTTTGATGAGGTCGGAGTATGTTTGGAAGAGTGAGCCGATGGATTATGCTGCCCTTATGTGTGATGAAGGCCTTCAGAGACATGGCTAAAAGCCTTATCCACGTACGATCACACAGTATGCACATATGATAGCCGTTTTCAGAAAAGTAAACCACCTTTTAGGGTGAAGTTTGTCCGTGTGCGAGAGATAAACTATATGCATCATAAAGCAATGGATTGCATCAGGTCTAGGTGACCTTGGTACGTCTCTAAGGGAGAACCTGAAATCCATAGATTGGGACTATAACCCATTGCCCATTGGTTAGACGTTGGTGACCCACTAATAAGCCCACACATAGACTCTGAGTCATAGGCAATACTGAATCAATTTGAGAAAACAAGTGTGGACCATAGTCCACAGTAGAAGGTGGAGTGCCTCAATGTATATTTATTTGTTTATATGGATCATTTTCCCCATCAAAGTACTTAATTATGTTTATTTTAATAGTTTATGATTTTTTTAGAATTGTTTTTGAATTTTTCTATATATATATATGGGTGCAATTTCTATAAGATTGTGACCTTAAACAATCCAATTAAGGCGCACCTCCAAATTTTATCATAACATGCAATTTTGTTGTAAATTTTTTTTAGGATTATCTTAAAAACTATTTTCATATCTAATTAGAAAATTTTAAACTCCAATTTTAAAGAAGCAAAACAATAAAAAGAAGAAGAAAGAGATGGAAAGAGATAATACCAAACTGGGTGGGATGGCCCGAAATTCTCGAGCCTTTGAGGGCTCGCTCGTATCAGAACCGGTTCTCTTTGCCTCTCTGATTCGGATGTTGACTAGCGGATCTCTAGTGTAAAGGGTTAGATCTAGGGTTGTTGTGCCCTAATTCTAGTTTTGATCTAGGGTTTTTGTGTCTTAGGTCTCGGTTTTCTCAGTCTTGAGGGTTAGGACTTCATGTGGCTAGGGTTTCTATCTTCTCCAAGGCTTTCAATCTAAAGATTTTTCTAAAGCTATGGGTCTTTCTC